CGGCGAGGAGCTGGAGCAGGTCTCCTACATGCGGCAGGACGCGAGCGTCGAGTGCGGCTCTGACGATCACGGATCCATCACCGACCTCGCCACCGGCTTCATCGTCCTCTGGCCCGCTGGCTCGCTGGTCCTCTTCACGTCGCTCCTCGCCGCTTGCTACAAGCCGCTGCAGGCCAAGACGCCGAATGCTCTGACGCGGGCCACCGCCTTCCTCCACCGGGAGTACGAGAAGACCTGGTACTGGTGGGAGGCGGTCGAGTTGGCGCGCAAGCTCGTGCTCACGGGCTTCGTGCTTTTGATACCGGAGGAGCGAGCATTTGTTCGCCTCGTGGTGGCGACGCTCATCTGCTCATGCTACGCCGTCGCGCTCGCCGTCGTGCGGCCGTACAAGCGGGTCGAGGACAACGTGCTCGCCGTCGCCACGAGCCTCGTGCTCCTCCTCCTCTTCCTCGGCACCAACTGGAGCACCATCTTCCTCGGCATCAAGGAGCAGTACCAGGGAGTAGATCCCGCCGATGTCCTCGGCTTCCGCAGCCTCAATGTGATTGTCGACTCGATGATCATCCTCGTTGCAGTCGTGCTCGCCTTCTTCCTCGTCGGCGCCGTCGTCGCCGCCCGTCGCGTCGCCAAGGTCCCCAGGATCCGACTCGTCTCGACCAAGCAGCCCCCCGAGCTGAGCATCGTGATGGGCCTCACGTGGCACCTCTTCAACAGCCACATCTGGTGAGTCATAGCCATGGAGGGAGAACAGGAGCAGGACCCGGTCTCTCTATAGAGCCACAACCTCCGAATAGGTCGACCGGTCAAGACGCCGTCAAGGTCATCAAGGGTGAGCTCGAGCAGCTGCTGCCGGACATCAAAGTCTTTCTCGACGCGCGCACATGCTCATCAGCGCTGCTTAAGCTACACAATATGCCCCTCTGACGCTCCGCGGTGTGCCCTGATAGGTAGATGACCTCAAGGATATCGGGGCGCTCGAGGAGTACATCCATCGCTCGCAAGTCATCCTCTTCTTCCTCTCGAGGGGCTACTTCCGCTCCAAGGCTCGCCTCTTCCTCCCAACCCGCCTCTGCCCGCACGCTGGCCCCAAGAACTGCCGCCTCGCCCGCGCCACAGAACTGCCTCCGAGAGGTCCGCTCGTCGCTCGAGAAGGACAAGCCGCTCGTCCTCGTCCAAGAAGCGGACCCTGAAAAGGGCGGCGGGACGCTCCAGGCGCTGCGCGACGAGTGCCCCGAGGACCTGCAGCCGGCCATCTTTGACAACGACTGGCCGCTCACGATTTGGTATCGCATCGATGAGTTTCAGCTCATCTCGCTCAAGATCATCGCCGAGGCACCGCCGGCCATTTCCAGCTCCGCCGTTCTCTCTTACCTCTCCCGACAGACCCCACTTGAACCACCCTAGGCGGTGCTCCTCTGTTCGCCCAACTTTCTGGACAAGACCTCCCTCCCGCTCTGCGTGTCGGGCGAGCCCGAGAGCCAGTCGCTCGTCTTTTCCAAACAGACCACGGTCTGGGCCTCGCCTGCCAACCCGGGGTCGCTGGCACTGGCCAACGAGATCGCCGCCGCTTTTGCCGGTCTCACGATCTCCACCGATGATCGGCCAGCCAGCGCGACGCACATGCTGCTCTACCTCAACGAGCACAGCTTCGTCAGCGACGAGCGGCTGGCCGAGCAGGTCAAGCAGGCGCGGGAGGACAAGCTGAAGATCGTCACGGCGCACGAGAACGACCCCGCGCTCGGCGGCTGCCAGTTCTCGAGGTTTTTCGAAGTCACGCCGCAGGAGCGAATGTCTCAATGTGACGCCCGTCCCGAGCCTCCCCTCCAGCCACAACCCTCTCCTCCCAACGCCGCAGGAGCTCATCGCCGGCGGACTCTACAAGGACCTGGCAAAATCGTGCTTCCCCGGCCGCCACCGCAAGGCGCGCGCCCTCTCCCCCACAGCGAGCTCCCCCCCGCATCGAGCGTTTCGTGACGAGGGGCGGGTCCCTGCCCGCAGGTGTCGCTCGTCCTTCTGGCAAAGAGCCTAGGCGCGACCCCCGCTCGGTCGCGGGCGGACCTCCTCGCTTCAGGCAGCGTCGCTGAGGGCAGCACCAGCCTCGCGAAGCGCAGCCTTGGCGGACTCAGCCGGGTGTTCGCCAAGATGAGCAGCCGCAGCTCTGCGGAGGCGCGCGAGGTCTCTGGAGGCGAGGCGTCGTCGGTGCAGCAGCAGGTCTGATCGGTTGCGCGATGTCGTGCGCAAAACGTGCGGCGGGCGCGGCGATGACCTGCAAACACGGGACCATTAGTAGAGCTAGCTAGCTCGCACGTGGGACGTATGTGCGCGGCATTTACATTGTGTTGCACAGGGGGGGGGGGGGGGAGTCACATGTGCACATGTTGCACATGTACTTTAAGGAGATTATCGTAGAGGGAGCGGACCGTGAGTTGAGGAAATCCGGGGACGCGACCCACCTCGGTCCTCGCCTGTCGCCACAGACGGTCCCGTGCCTCGCCGCTAAGACGGGTATACGACCGCGGCTCGTGTGCGTGTACCCGTCTTTGTCCGGAGTGAAAAGTCCAACGCGCTCGTCGGTGACGGCGTCCCCGGATTTCGCCGCGCTCGGCGAACCTCGACAGCGCTTTCGGTGGCATGCAGCTCTTTGCGCCTGAAGCCTGGAGAGCAGCTCCTCTGCTGCTCACACACTCTGCACAGTTGACACAGCCTACTGTGCGGCTGCCACAGCTGTGACAGCGATGGGCTCGCCCTCACTGGCCCTCAGTCACTTGTGCTGCGGCTTGTGTGAGCGACACTGCTCGGCGACTGCCGGCACACTGTGAAACCGTGGGTGTGAGGTAAAACCACGCTACCAGCGCTTGGTCACATCGGCCCCGAGGTCAGATCCATCTACTCTGTTGATGACAAGACTTGTCTACTGGCTGGAGCCGAGCAGGAGGGCCAGCGCACAACCCCTGGTCAACTCAGGGTCCACACCCCGTATGATTTGCGTCGTGGGGTTCCAGCTCTTTCGTCCTGCGCGTCCGAGTATCGTGGTGTACCTGTGTAGGTGCCAGTGCGCGCCAGTCCGTGCCTAGTTTTGTGAGTGTGACAGAGTCATTGATTGAGAAAAAGAAAAAAAGAAAACGGACAACCCAAGGGAGGGATGGGAGGACGGCACGCCGCCACCACACAGGGATTTTAAGGAGAGGGGTGTGGTGCGCTAGCCGTCGCCCACCCTTGGGCGTCCGCCTCTTCCTATCTCTCTTCGCAGTCTCTCGCCGATTCTCGCTGCAACCTTCATGCCACCTCGCGGTCGTCCCACTCTCGTCGTTCTTTCCCTTGTCGCTGCTTCTTCTGTCGCGTCGCTCTCCTCTGCCTCGTTCTGCGACGCCGCCGCCTGCCGGTCCCTTGTTCTCGCTGCTTCTTGCGCCTTTCGGCGCAGCTCCGTCCTCCTCGCTGCATATCCAAAACATAATATCCTGGCCCCTCGAGTCTATCGAGCTCTCCTCGAGCAAGGACGAGTCTTCTGACGCCCACTGCGATCATTTGCCACCCAGTCATATCGTTGCTCAGGTCCACTCTCTCTTCGAACACTTGTGCCTTCACTGATGATGCCGGCGCTGGGGTCCCCTTCGGGTGCATCGTGACGGCTGACAACGGGATTTCCACTGGTTCGTCCTCCTCGGAGTCGTCTTCCCCCTCTTCCTTCCGCTCGGCTCTACGTTCAGTACGTTCGGCGTGGCTCACCCTTCATGCCGTGAACAGGCGCTTTATCCACCCTATATTCTTCTCTCGTTCCTCTGCCCGTGCCTTGGTCTTGTCGTTGTTTCGCACCCATGTCTGTATGGCAATCGAGGCTGCCTTCCCCACTACCTGTAGTTCACTCGTCACCTCTCCCGCGAGCTCCCCTCTCTTTCTTTCGGGTATGGGGTCCGTGAGATTGAGAAAAAAAGAAAGAAAACAGACAACCCAAGGGAGGGATGGGAGGACGGCACGCTATGGGCCATGGAGTTAGCGGAATCGACCACCAGCCCCCAAAGATCGCTTTTCTCTGACACCAAAACGCACCCCACTATCGCTACTAGTGCCGGGGCAGCTAAATACATGGTCATTATGTGTCGTGGTACACTACCAGCCTTGTGCAGGTGTCAAACGGGTCTCCGGAGGCACTCCAGACCGGTCCGGGACCCGTAAGAACTCCAACCAGAGAGGTATCCAACGCCTCCCGACACCCTAGCAGGGCGGCCCAGGCCACCCTAGCACTGCCTGCCGCCTGTGAGCCAGGCCAGTTGGCCCCAGCCAGCCTCAATCGTGCCAGACGCCGCCACCACACAGGGATTTTAAGGAGAGGGGTGTGATGCGCTAGCCGTCGCCCACCCTAGGGAGTCTGCCTCTTCCTATCTCTTTTCGCAGTCTCTCGCCGCTTCTCGCTGCAACCTTCATGCCACCTCGCGGCCGTCCCACTCTCGTCGTTCTCTCCCTTGTCACTTCCTCCTCCGTCGCGTCATTCTCTTCTGCCTCGTCCTGCGCCGCCGCCGCCTGCCGTTCCCTTGTTCTCTCGGCTTCTTTCGCCTTTCGGCGCAGCTCCGCCCTCCTTGCTGCATATCCTGGCCCCTCGAGTCTATCGAGCTCCCCTCGCGCAAGGACCACATTTCTGACTCCCACTCCGATCATTTGCCTCCCAGTCATGTTGTTGCTCAGTCCACTCTCTCTTCGAACACTCGTGCCTCGACGGATGATGCCGGCGCTGGGGTCCCCTTCGGATGCATCGTGACATCTGCATCTGACAACTGAATTTCCACTGGTGAGATTGAGAGTCAGGCACAGCGGGGCATATGTAATTCTTCTCCCGCGCTCCGCCTTCGCGAGGCAGCTGTCTGGTATAGCCCCAGCCTACTCCGCGTGAACTCTCGAGGGATCTCGAGTTGCTCACGCTGCAGACACGTCACGCAATGCAGTCGCCAGCACCGGCCCCAGCACCTGGGGACCTTGCTTCACAGTCGCTGCTGTCCCGGCTGACGATGCGCCCGCTCAAGGCTCTCTGCGCAACGCACGGCGTCGATCACGGTCTAGCTGGCAAACGAAAGGACGTGCTCGTTGACCGCCTGCAAAAGATCCGGAAGGTGACGGTTGGCGAGTGTGAGGCGCTCCTCCCGACCGCCGCTGCGAACCGCCCGGCAGGCGGCGCGGGCAAGGGCGCCGGCAGGGCCAAGGCGGATGCGACAATGCGCACTCGGCTCGAGGCTTACTTTGCGTCGGGCGGAGACGAACTAAAGTGCTCCGCATGCCGGCGGCCGCTCAGCAGAGTGCAGGAGCTCCGGCCTCCGCACGGACACGGCGTCTTCCTGAACGTCTCGTGCGGCTTCTTCCCGCAGTGCAAGCGGACGCACAAGCTGCGCGAAATCTACCTCCTCTACAAGCGGCTGCTCTCTCCGAGGATCGTCTTCGAGGCGGTCAGCCTGCGCGGCATCCTCGGCGCGGAGCGCGACGCCTTCTCGGTGAGCGTGGACGCGAGCAATGCGCTCGGCGTCGCGCTGCTCGATGAGCTCGTCCAGCGAGCCGACCTCGCGCCGCTCGCGCAGCGGCCAGACACTGCCGACGAGGCGTCCCTCGTCTCCGGCACCTGCGGCAGGCGGGGGGTCCTCTTTCTGCTTTCGGACTACGCCGCGGTGCACGCGGCGGCCGTGGAGCTGCTGGTTGCGCGCAGGAGCGAGGCGGCGCCTGCGAGCGGCGGCGGCGGTGGCGGCGGCACCGAGGAGCCCTTCAAGCTCGTTGGCCTGCCTGAGAGCGACGGGCAGCTCTCTCTCTTCCTTCACGCGGCGGGCGTGAGCGACAGCGCTGCCTCGGGAGGGGCCGGGACCTCGGGAGGGGCCGGGACCTCGGGAGGGGCCGGGACCTCGGGAGCCGGGACCTCCGACGAGGCTGCCTCGGCCAGCGAGCTCGCCGCCGGGTGGCGTGGGGAGGACGAGGCGCTCGCTCTCGCAGGCGAGCGGCGGCTGCGCGAGTGCGGCGTCTGGTGGCGACTCCGGTCGTACCAGCGCGAGGGCGTCCGGCGCAGCCTGCAGATGGGCGGCACGCTGCTGCTCTGTGACGAGATGGGGCTCGGCAAGACGCTGACCGCGCTAGCGACGGTGGTCGCACTTGACGCGTGGCCTTGCCTCGCCATCGTGCCAGCCGTCACGCGGCGGGGGTGGGCGTGCGAGGTCGAGCGATGGCTCACCGGCGTGTTGGGGCCATCCGACGTCCACATTGTCTACGACCAGTTCGACGCCTTGGACCCGAGCCGCCCCATCCCCAAGCTCGTCATCATCTCGCCAAAGATGGCGGACCGCACGCACCAGCACCGCAACTTGCTGGCGCGGGCGTGGGGCAGCGCCATCCTCGACGAGGCGGGACGGCGCTGGCAGTGCTGTCGGGGGAGAGAGAGAGGCGAGATGGTCGGGTTCTGATGATAGGCGCACGTCCTGGCGACGGCGGCGGTCCGCCAGGACGCCGAGCAGACCACCTCGCTCATGGCCCTGCTGCAGAGCGTCCCCCGGCGGCTGCTGCTCACCGGCACGCCCGCGACGAGCCGCCTCTTCGACTCTTTCAACCTATTCCAGGTGCTGCGGCCAGGCCTGCTCGCCGCGAATAAGTACGAGTACAAGGCGCGCTTCTTCGACGGCGCCTCGTCGTCGGCGGCGCTCAAGTACCCGAAGCAGCTTCCACTGCTCGTGCACAGATTCCTGATGGTGCGGCGCACGAAGAGGCAGGTGCTGCTCTCCACGCGGCCCGAGCAGGCGGTCGGCGCGGACACTCCCCTCACATCGACACTTCCGCGACAGGTGATGGACGACCTCCCGCACCGGCTCGATGAGCAAGTTGACTTGCCGCTCGCCCTCGGCCACGCAAGGGAGGCGATCCGCGCGTTTGGAGCGGCGCCCCTGCCGCCGGACGACCTGGCGCGCGCCGAGGGCGGCGACGCCGACGACAGCGCCCCCGACAGCTTGGAGGCTGCTGGCGTGAAGGCGAAGGCTCACCGCCTCGGCTTGCTCAAGGCCGTGGCCCTCTCCGAGCCGGAGTCTTGGCTGCACGCGCGGCTCCGCACCCTCGCCACGGCGGCGGCAGACGCGCGGCAGAGGGGCGAGCGGCCGCGCAAGCTCGTCGTCTTTGCGCACCACGAGAGGGTGATGGACCTTCTCGAGAAGACCATCGGCGAGCGACTCGCGGACGCCGCCACGCCGGCCAGCGGGGGTGGCGACGGCGAGTCGGCGCCGTGGCATGGCGTGCGCATCGATGGCAGCCATTCGGGCGTGGCGAAGAACGCGCTCCTGGACGCATTTCGCGACAACGACTCTTGCTTGGCGGCACTGCTCTCGATCAAGGCTTGCGGGACGGGCGTGGACGGGCTGCAGCACACGGCGGACCACGCCGTCTTCGTCGAGCTGCCAGAGACGTATGCCCTCGCCCACCAGGCAGCCGCTCGGCTGCACCGCTCGGGGCAGACGCAACGTGTGCTCCTCACGTGGCTGCTTGCCTGCGGACCGCCGCGCCGCGGCCGGCTACTGGCGGGCGCGGATGCCGGCGACAGCGGTGGCGACGAGGCGTCCGCCTTGCTACGCGAGTGCTCGAGTGCAGACGCACGGATGTGGGCGTCGCTGCAGCGCAACGCGGAGGAGATCGACGAGGCTAGCAGCTCTTTTGCTTGCCGCAGCCGCCGCTGCGCATTCGGCGTTTTGCACCAGAGCTGCTCTGACTGTCACCTGTAGGTATTCAGCGGCGCCGTGCAGCAGTCGGCGAGCGGCAGCTATACACAGACGGCGGCGGCGCGGGACGATCCGTCGGGAAACGGGCTGCCGCCACCGCCGCTCGCGCCGCCGAGCGCCGCCGAGCTGGAGGCGCTTCACTTCGGCGTCTCGCCGCACACGAGGTGCCGCGATACTTCCGAGACACTTCCTGTCGCCGCCCTTTCTTCCCTACCACTTTCTCCACCCGCCAATCGCACCCACACCGCCGTGCTGACGCGTCGTCGACGCGTCCGCAGGTACGTGCACGTCTTCGCCTCGTCGACGAGCGACGTGTCGATGGCGGCCTTCCCTCCGCACGAGCTGGCCCTCGACGGGGACAGCTGCGCGACGACCCGTCGCGAGGTGCTGCGCCGCGCTGCGTCCGCCTTTCTGCGGTCGTGGGAAGCGCAGCCGGCGCACTGTCGGCCCTTTGCGGAGCTGCCGTGCACTCTCGCCTCGCTCCCGCAGCAGTGTGAGGGGCTGCGGCAGGTAATCCACGAGGGCCGCGCACACAGCCGACAGCGCCACGCGCCGCGGTCTGCGCCGAGCGAGCGCGAGCAGGCGAGCCTGCCTGCCAGCGCCGTCTGGATACCGGCGGCGGTGCGCGAGTGCCGGACGGGCACCTTCGAGGTGCGTGTGCACTGGCAGCCGTTTGACCCGTCGTGCGGCAGCCTGCTCTGCGCCAACAGCGCGTGCTTCCGTCCGCTCGGTGGGGCGAGCCTCGCCGAGCGTGGGCGGACGCCACATCCGCTGCCCGACCCGCTGCCTGAGCGCGCCAGGCTGGAGTGGCGCACGGAGCACGAGAGCTCCCTCGGGCTCGTCTGCGGAGGGGCATGCCTCAAGGCGCACCAGCTCGCGCGGGACCCGGCGTCGGTGCGTCGGACCGTGCGGCGACGTAGATGCTCAGATCCCCATATCCTGGCCAACCGTATCGCATCCCCTCAGTCCCCAGGTATATTCCGCACTGCGTAGATCCCAGGTCTCTTCTCACTGCAGGTGCGGAGGGCTCACGTCAAGCTGAGCGGCTCGGTCTTCTGCCAGCACTGCGGGGTGGACTTGCTCGCCCTCGTAGCGCAGCTCAAGGGCCTGCCGAGCGAGGAGGCGCGCCGTGCTCTGCTTCTCGCGCGCCTGCCGCACTTCGCGCGCTGGCCGGGCAAGCTCGACCGCGCCGCGACGGAGCCGAGCGAGGGGCGCCTCTGGGAAGCGGACCACCGGAGGGAGGTGCGCGATGGCGGCGGGGAAGCCGCGAGCGAGGGCGCCTTTGACCCGCTCTGCGTCGGCTGCCACCAGCGAAAGACCAACGCGACGACGCGCGGGCGAGGCGACGACGAGGCGGTGCGGCTGCGCGGCTTCTCCTTTCGAGGGGCGGCCGAGGGCAGCGAGGCGGGCAATCGCAAAGGCGCGGCGAGCGGCGCACTTCGCAAGCGCAGGGCGTCTGTCTCGCCGTCGGGCGCGGCGGCTGGACCCGCGGCGGCCTCGGCGACGGCCGGTGAGGCGGGCGCGGTGCGCGGTGAGCCATCGGCAGCTGGGCAGCCATCGGCAGCTGGGCGTCCCAGCGCGGGGAGCGACAGCGAAGCGACCATAGCCGACGACAGCGACGCAACGATAGCCGACGAGAGCGACACGACTGTAGCCGGCTCGACGAGCATCGGGGAGCGCGGTGCGGCGCAGGCTGACTCAGACTCTGAGATGTCACTGTTGGAAGAGGCTTGCTCTCGGGCCGCACCGTCGCCGATGCCGGTGCCAGCGCCAGCAGTTGCGTTGGAGGCGCCGGCCGTCTGCTGGGAGGTGGAGCTCTCTGGACGGTTTCAGGCCTATGGATCCGAGCAGCAGTTTGCCCTCGAGACGGCACATCAGCGTGGCGACGACGTGGCATCCATCAGCGTGCGCGGGACGGTGTACGAGGTACGCTTGCGAGGCGAACAGCGGCAACGAGGCTTGGGCGCCGACGCTTGGCGCAGTCGAAGGGTGCGGCGCAGAGTGAGCTGAATGGGGGGCGGTTTTGCGTTTGGACCCTCTTCACGTCTCTCCTACCCCCAGGCTGCTGATTGCGTCTCGACAGTGTGTGTGTGTGTGTGTGTGTGTGTGTGTGTGTGTGTGTGTGTGTGTGTGTGTGTGTGTGTGTGTGTGTGTGTGTGTGTGTGTGTGTGTGTGTGTGTGTGTGTGTGTGTGTGTGTGTGTGTGTGTGTGTGTGTGTGTGTGTGTGTGTGTGTGTGTGTGTGTGTGTGTAAAAGAGTGAGGGCAAGAATTTCGTCAGGCTGTTGTCAGGCAGTCTGTGGGGGGTGGATCTCAACGGAACGACCGAATCGAAAAAAACGAATCGGACCCCGGAAAACGCATAAAGCACTCAAAATTAGTTCTAGGAAACGAGATGGATACATGTAGGCAACTGCTGCTGCGGCCCGGTCCTCGCCGCGCGCAGGTGCGCTCAGCTCTCCTTCTTCTCCAAGTCCCTCACCCAGCTGCAGGCCTGCAGGCGGGGGAGAGGGTTGGCGTTCGCGGCTCGGCTCGGGTCCGGGTGTCTGGGCTTGCTGCGCGGCGGGCGGCCGCCCTGGCGCCTTTTGCAGCCCCAGGCGCGAGACGAGCCGGACCACAAAGTTTGGCACGAAGGGCGCGAGCACGACCGCCGCCACGAACCAGACGCGGATGTGCCCCGGCCGGCCTGGCAGCGGCTGCACGTGCCAGTACCCGGTCGAGTCGGACAGCACCTGCCCGCACGAGGGAACGGCGAGGGTCGGGCGGCCCGCTGGCAAGAGGGCACCCGGCTAGCAGGGCGGCTGGCTGCACCCAGCTCGGCTGCTCCAGCGTCCACCTCGCGTACCGCTGCTCCTCGTCCACCGCGAAGCGCACGTCGAGCAGCAGCCCGAGCCGGCTGACGGTGAAGCGGTAGCAGCAGGTCCCCGGCACCACCCGCTCGGGTCGGTAGGCCTCCACCTTGCGCACGGTTCCGATGCGCCGCTTGTACCCAGCAAAGTCGCTCACGCAGTCCCACGCCGCATCCGGATCGGCACAGATGTCCTGCACCGCAAACCCCGTCCCGCTGCCGCTCCGCAGGTCCTGTCTCTGCACGCGCTTGCCCGCAGTGAGCCGGCGTAGCTCCGCGGGTCGCAGCTCAGGCAGCTCCGGGGAAGAACCCTGCGGCTGGCAGCGGCGTCGGCCGCTGCGGGCGGCCGGCGAGGGCGGCGGCGGCTCCAGCGAGAGGACGGAGTGCGCCACTCGCGACCATGCGGTCGCTCTGCACGATAGCGAGCTGTCGCTGGCGGCGAAAGCGTAAGCGACAGCGGCGGCGACGGCGTACATGCACAGACTGCCGCACACGCGCTCGCACAGCCCGGCCTCTCTGAGCTCACCGCATGCAAGAAATACCACGGGCTCACCGCCAGGCCGAAAGAAAGAGACTCGCCGCTGGTAGGGTCGCCTCGTCGATGTCTCGCCCTCCCTTGTGTACGCAGCTGGCTGTGTGTCTTGTGAGCCTGTTTGTGTCTGTGTGTCGCTCGTGCCTCGTGCGTGTCGTCATCATCTGTCCCGCGTCCACCCATATTACCGCGTTGGTGTCCAGTCCGAGCCTGGCTGTTCTTCACCTTCCTACCTAACCTAACCTCCCTTACTGGTGTGTTCAGGGGGGGGGGGGTATCATATCTCATAACCATGTCTCCATCAATCTCACTCCGGTCTGGGATCTCATGAGACGTCGGCGGTGGTGGCGCTGGCGGAGCCGGGAGGGTGTGACCGATCCACGAGGCCGACTACACGGTAAGGCATACGGACCTTGCAGAAAACCTTTTCCTTCTAAGCAGGGCTACACAATGACCCTTCTTCCATCCGCCAACAAAAGATGAGAACTCCATGCCTACCTCATCATACATACAACAACAACAACAACAACAACAACAACAACATGTACACGACATGGAACCCCAGCGAAATAAACAAGAAATCATATGATTTGTAACGACACCAACCCGACAAATGGGAACCGCGCCTGGCGCTGGCGCCGCAGCGGTGCGTGAGCTCGAGGTTGGCGGGCTGACCTTTGACGCGGCGTTCGACTCGGGCAATTGCGCCCGCGTCGAACGCCTCGGGGAGCACGAGTTTGGCATCTGGACGGCGCCCGACTGCGTTGGCACGAGCTGCGAGACAAACAACCGCACGTGGTTCCACTTTTCAGTCAGCCACGCCACGGCCGGACGCGTGCTCACGTTTGTGGTGCACAACATGAACTCGCAAAACAGGCTCTTCAAGCACGGCATGCGGCCCGTATGGCGCGCGCTCCCCTCGCGCCCGCAGTGGGAGAGGGTCCTTCACCCTGTTGTCGCAGCCGGCACCAAGGCGGAGGACAACTTCACCATTCGGTTCCGACACACGATCGAGTCGAGCGAGACCCACTTCTTTGCCCTCTGCTACCCGCAGCCCTACGCCGAGACCTGCAGCCGGCTCGCACACCTCGATGCTCTCTTTGGCCTGCCGCCGGCTTCAGCCGAGATCATGCCTCCGTCGCGACTCGGTGGAGGCGACACGGCTGGCGAGTGCGACGCCTTGCCGCGCACGCCACAGAAGTGCGAGGGATTGGAGGAGGAGACGCGCAAAGGCGGAGGCGTAGGTGTTCTGACAGCAGCGGACGGGTTGGTGGAGGAGGCCAGCGTCCGCTGCGCCTCGCACGGGCTGCCTTGCCGCCGCCCGCCTGGCGTCTACTACATGCGCGAACTACTCGTCCGGTCGCTCGGCGGACGGCGCGTCGACCTGCTCACCCTGAGCGGGTCCGACGGCATGCTCGAGGAGGAGGAGGAGCGACTGGAGGGCCTCTTCCCAGAGGGACGGCCGCGGCCGAGGCTGTTTCGCGACAAGAAGGTTGTCTTCGTCTCGGCGCGTGTCCACCCTGGCGAGGTGCCTGCTTCGCACGTCTTCGACGGGGTGCTCTCCTTCCTGCTGCGCGAGGCGGACCCGCGTGCCCGGAGGCTGCGAGAGGCCTTCGTGTTCAAGCTCGTGCCCTGGCCTCAATCCCGACGGCGTGGCGGACGGGCACTACCGCGCCGACACACG